TATAAAATTTTCACTGATATTGATTTAGCCTAATTTTGTTCCAGAAAAGGTTGTTCTCTGGCTGATGGGCCCTTTCTTGATAAGGGTTACAAAGTATACCAGGATAATTGGTACAACAGTGTGAGGTTAGTGTCATACCTGCTATCACGGCTAACTGTGTCTGTGGCAGAATTCCCCTGGGTCTACGCAATACCCGGTTAGATGTTGGTGGCCATCATGCTATCCAAGCAGGTAATAATACTAAATGTAATTCATTCTATTTTTGTGTGTTGATTAAGGTAGTTATTATACACTCAGAGGCCTAATAATAGACTTAACAATTCAGAGTTTATAATTTCTAGTAGTAGATAGAGATGTCTGTTTGACTCCCTCGATTTCATTTTGTATATCTTGATATACATTTCATGATATACATATGCAAAATCTTTAAAGTACTGATATTCATTTTCACCTACATATCAATGTGCAATTCTATAATTTATATAGATGTGGCTACTATTCAGATGCTAATGAAAGCTTTATCTTGAGCACCGGCACATTGCTTCCTGGTCAACTCAACCCCAAGTCAACTCAACCCAAGTCAACTCAACCCTTAGTCAAGTCGACCCCAAGTCAAGTCGACCCTTAGTCAAGTCGACCCCAAGTCATCTCGACCCTTAGTCAACTCGACCCCAAGTCATCTCAACCCTTGGTCAACTCAACCCTTAGTCAAGTCGACCTAAATGATTTTACTTGTTTTAAGTAGATTAAAATACAATATAATCCCATTGTTTGTGCAGTTTGATTTGAAATCAAACTTCAAAGAAAAAAACATTTCTGCCACCTATAGATCAAAACGAAGATTTGAAATGGATCATAAAATCCCAATCTGATTGTTTATGACACCTGACATCGATGGGTACGATAATGGAAATTGTAAAATCATAAATCCCATTGTTTGTTCAGTCTTGTTTTAAAATCTAGATTAAAAAAAATAAACATTTCTATCGCCTATAGATCAGAAGGAAGATTTGAAATATATCATATTGTTTATTATTATTATCAAAATATAAAATCATTCAATACAAAGTAATGGATGGATGTTGGCACAATGCACATGTTGCATAAGTTACCTGTTGTCAAAAATACTGTTGCAACAATTTCAGTATAACAGAAAAGTGTATGGATAATTTTTATTTTTATTTCAGAGAGATAAAACAAGCTCAAATATGAAGGGGTGAAATATATGTATAGCATCGTGAATAGCCCTATTAAGATTAATCAAATATTATTTTGGTAAATAAATGTCATATTTATAAAAATTATAAATGCGTTAAGCACAAACTTCAATAGTTGATAATTTTATTTTGGAAAATTAGCATTTAAGTCCCTCATTCTTTCAAAATTCATCAATATCATACCATGAAAATAGTATATCTATTTGTTTTTTTATGGTGGGGTCGAGTTGACTAAGGGTTGAGATGACCAAGGGTTGAGATGACCAAGGGTTGAGATGACTTGGGGTCGAGTTGACTAAGGGCACATTCAGGCTAGGCAATTGAGGGCTGTAACCATGAGGTTGAGACTTCGAGACGGGTGTGTCATTGTGTTTATTCATTTACTAACAACACATGTTACATGACATTACACTCATATCAGGACTTCATCAGACACACTGTGCATGTACTGTACACTGTATATATGCCTACACTGTACAATACAATGATAAATAATTTATGCTTCAGTAATGCCTACTTTTCTGTTACTCGAACAAGAGAGATATTGCTAACTAGGTGTCTGTATGCAGTGGAATTTTCGATAAAACCAAAACTTAAAACATAGATTTGCTAGATACTGTTATAAATGCTATAGAGGAAAAGCTTTGAATACATGATGTGATCAACCCTGATACTATCAACTCTTGGGAAGACAATATCAAATCTTGGCCTAATGTTGACCTTGGTAAAATATTCATATGGTGTTTCAGGATGTGGATGATAGATATAGGGTGAAAGTGGTTAGAAAGGTACCGCCTATATTGGAGTTGCAGTGGTCAAGCTATGTTGAAGGTTGGCAGAACTATCATTTGATGAAAAGGAACAAGTACTATTTCATCAATGCGAAGACTGGGGAGAAGAGATGGAAATTTAAGGGAGTTCAACGATTCAGAAGACAGTAGCAGCTCAGACTAATGAGGCTGGGAAGGATGGGATATGTACAATATGCTGGTGGACAATGTGAATTTTAATGTATGCTTAATAAGCTAGAAATATTATTATATATAATATTGAAGTGAATCTGAAATATTTTGTAATTGAATAAGATGTTCAGAAAAGAATGTACTGGCCTCGAATAATAAATGATGTCACAGATTATGTCAAACTATGTAAGTACTGCATTTTTTCTTTTGTTGATCTAAAGAAAATCTACAAGTCTACATGAATTCATAAAAGGTTCAAGAGTTGTTTGTAGAATAGAATGAATTGGAGGAGTTTTTTCATGCATTTCTCTTAATACACTTTAAAACTTTTTATTGACTATTGTTTTGGTTTATATCACAACCCAATGAGGTGTGTATTAATGATTAACTTTCCTGTTATCTCAAAATCTGCTTGGATACCATAGGATTGGCATGGGAAATTCCTCAAAGATAAATTCAAGGGACTAAGGAATTGGTACCATTTACACAATTTGAGAACCTATTTTAAAACAGCATTTATATGATCGTAATCAATGATTCCCAGCCCTCTGAAGTTTGAAAAATAATCCATAGGTAATCCTTGAAAAAGAGAAATATTTTTTTGGGGATTATATGGTGCAGTCTTATAGTCAATAAAATGGTTTAAAGTGTATTGATGTTTTTAAGATAAAAAACACAAGCAAAATGCATGAAAAACTACCTTGATTCATTCTACAAACAACATGCAGTCCTTTGCTTGACAATCGAATCCCTTTCCCATAGCAACCATCAAACCTATCATCACCATAATCTTTTTCCAGTTACTAATGACATGTACATGTGTAATTTTTATTAGTGTGTTAATACGAGGGGAGTTGCATAAATATTTGGGGATGAACAAAATAATAAAACGTTAACTAATGCCTACTTATCAAACAAATCAGATTCATTCTACATACACAGGACACAGATGTGTAAGAGAATGCATGCGGCCAGAAGAAAATGAGATTTTTTGTCACAGAATGAATTTAATTGTTAAATTGGTGCAGGGCATGTTCAATCAATATCTTTTCATTGATACGCTTAATTGATTAGTATAACACTGAATTGAAGCACAAATTATTTATTTGCAGATGCCATAAAACCTAAACACACATATTTCAATGACAGTGAGGAGGATGGGAATAGTGGAGATGAAGACAATGAGGAGAATGGGAGTGAGGAAGAAGAAAATAGTGGAGACGAAGACAGTGGAGAGAATGGGAGTGAGAGAGAAGAGAATAGTGGAGACGAAGACAGTGGAGAGAATGGGAGTGTACTAGAATACTAGTAATATGTTTTAAGCCATTTTAAAAAGATGTTTTTGTTTTTTAAAAATATGTGATAATACAAATCATAAAATAAGAAATTGTATAGACAGTTCATAAATAAGTGTAAATATGTTTAGAATTGGCTATAAAATTAGGTAGAGATTAGGCTATAAAATAAGCATACATACCGTATTCTCTGTAATTAGCGCCCAGGGCGTTTAGAAAATTGAAAATACATTATTTAGACCATTCTAATAAGCGCCCATGTATGAAAGAAATCAGAAATCCCGAGGGATTTCATGTATGGCAATTTTTCTTGACAAGAATGCATTTTCTTCAACATATTTTTATAATAATATGACAAGTGCTGTTATTGGAGAGAATACGGTAAAGATCGCTTAGACAATATTGACAGTGGTTGAAGACCCGTCTATGTCTAATTTATTTCCGGCACGCCCACTTTGTCATTATCGCCGATTACCTTCAATATTTCCACTAAAGACTGCTGGATATCGATCTAAAGTTATACATTATTTCTAATTTGATGAGAGATCATCATTATTCGTGCAAAAGTCGTGTAAAAGTCGAGAAACATTAAAAAGAAACCAGAAAGTTCACGACCTTGACATGCGCAGAACATCTTTAAGGTATATATCAGCTATGGCATTAATGGTTGAGAAAAAGGGATTGGGTCATTTTTCTTCTTTCCCTTTTGGCAACTGGGCAGAGATATTTATCCATATTTACAGCTAATTCAATATTATCTATTCCATTTCTGTTTCAGAGATAGCAAAGTTCACAATATACATGATATTTAATAAACTGCCTTGATCTTTTATAGGGTATACCATCCACATATATCTACTTTGATAGTGGATGGTCAAAGATATCACATAAGCACACATACAATGCCAAATGGGGTGTTGTGATTGTAATCTGCAGGAGAACAATGAAAGTTCTACATATAATAGTGCTAAATTCATATTGTAAGATATGCTCTATGTGTGAAGAGCAGGAAAGGACACCTCCTGTCCACACCTGTGGCAAGAATCACGAGGGCTCCGCCCAATCAATGGAGAGCGAAGGAGCTCTCATTGCTTTCAAAGAAATTGATGAGATGGGGGGGTTTATGATATACTCATATTATTGGGGATGGAGATAGTAGCGTGCTGGGTCCACAATGGGCAGGTCTTAAAAAAGTAGAATGTATCAACCATGCCCTCAAAAATGTGAAAGCTTCCATGGTGAAAGTTGCTGAAGAAAATCCTGCATTTAGAGGTAGTTTATTTTAAAAGATGATCATGCATTATTTCATATCATCATGTGTTAGAATACCTTGTATAATAGGAATTATTAATTTGATTGACACTTTTGTAGGTATAAAACTTTGTGGTGTTTTTATTTTATTTTTAATTTATTTTATTAAGTAACTTTTGGAGTAAACCATGACAAAAATTACAAAAGTAAATTTTTGTATAAGTAAAGGGAAACTAAGTGTCCAAAATCAGCAACAGATATGCGGAGCACTGAAAATGGCTACTATAACCCGCAGTAAACAGGAAGATCCACGCGATTTAGTAGAATCAGCTCTTGCTGCTGACTATCGTAACACCCCCAATCATGTGTTTGGTGATATGATAATAATAAATGATAATAATTAGAGCTATTTTGAGAATTAAAAATGTTTAAAGTTGAACCCTCCAATGACTGTATCAGGTCCCACGTAGGCGGGTATAAGGTAGTAGGTTTTTATACTAAAAGCCAAGAGATCGGATTACAACAATTTTGATGGAAAAACACGGGCTAAGATTGCCCATTACGCTTTAGAAATTAATTATGGACTATTGTAAATATGGTAATGGAAAATATTCGCCATATTGGATTTTATTTTTCTAGGATGTCACCTCACAGACCAAGATGGAGACACTCAAATAAGAGTATACAGCAGCGATGTCTACAATGATATGTTAAGCCAGACAAAACTCAAGATATCAAGAACAATGCTTGGAAGATGCCTGAAATGACTCTACCCAGGAACCAAGCTAGTCAATGGCGGGAAATCAACAAAGAACATACCGAGAAAGTATAACTACTCCGGGGTTTACTACAGGAGCGTTTCTTCCGAAATCCCACAGTCAGCACCTATAGCCTTCAACGAAGACACTGATGACTTGGATATACAACAGTCATGCAGTATGACAATACAAGCTATCATTGAAAGACTCGAATCACCACCCAGAAGACAAGGCCCTGCTACATCGGAAATCGCTACCCAGACAGAAATAGAATTCACCAGCACAGGATCCCAGACAGATTTCACCTCTCCATCAACACAGCAAGTCAACGACCTACAAAAGCAAATCAAGCACCTCTCTGATCTTCTTCACGCCACACAGCTAGAAATGGACCGATTATACACTACGTTAGGCTACCTTCAAAATCCCCACAGTACTGAAGCAGGTGAACGGTATCACGTGGAAGCAGACTTTGAGCAACTTTCCTCCCTTGAACGTATTTTGGGAAAAGGCTCATTTGGCGTGGTTACCCAAAGACGTCTCCAGAATGGCACAAGAATTGCAGTGAAGCAGCTTACAAGTCGAGAATCTCCAATCCGAGAATTTCAACACCTGGCAGCTGCACAAACCGGATTCTATACAAAGCCTCCTGGCAGTAAACCTCAATGGACCACCCTATACAATAGTAAGTGAGTGTGTACACCTTGGATCTACAGCAGCATCAATGGAGGATGTTGTGCGAGACCCAGCATTCTATCAACAGATAAACCCTCGAGCCCAGCTGAAATGTTTGGTAGCAGGACTCGAATTTCTTCACAGTCGAGGAATCCTTCACAATGATATCAAATTGAAAACTACCTTCTATCATCTTCTACATCAGGCGTCATCATCGACTTTGGGATTGCCTGTCCACTAGCAGAGCCGAGGAAGTACTCTAAACCAGCCGATCACCTGTGCTACTGGATAGCCCCGGTGGTGCAGAATGCTACCAATGCATTCTCTGTACATAGTGACATTTTTTCAGTAGGGACATTTGTGGGTAGGATTCACGAGATTACCCCTTGGTTCATTTCTGTTGCAACTAAGTGTTGCAACTCTCAGCCACTCTGCCGTCCTTGTTTGACTTGTTTTTTATGCATTGTAACTTAAATAATGATGAACATTGTAAATACAACCAAATGTAATTATATGTACATGTATATATTATAGTTGGAGAAAATGGATCTACTAGGTGGGTACAAACTACAAAACACTTTAAGTTACATTTAAAAATTGATTTACACAATCTTCATGCAGGAAGGTTGTAGATAAAGCATAATAAAAAAAACATGATGTACATGTAGCCTACTTATAATTGCAATTATAATTAAGTGTGCCTGTAGCACAAAATCCCACGTGACAAGTCTTGCCATGACGTGCAAAGAGTTATCTAGACTATTGACACGCTCTTTCCACGCCAGCTCTATGCACGTCTTGACACTTCTAGAAATCTCTAGATACAACGGAGTTCCTAGACTAGCTTGACACGTCTAGAAATTACTAGAAATTCCACAGTTGATGCAGTGCCCAGATGAAAGAAAAGACAGCCAGCTTACTTACAGGACCTTTATGTTATTTCAGATAAGATGAGCTCCAAGAGACGACATGATTCGCCATCATAGGGACGGATATATAGCTAAAAAAAATGTCAAGCTTAGTGTGAGGAACAGTCTCGTAGGACACTCTTGTCATACCTTATGACAAAATGTTATTTCAATTGGTCTATTTTGATGTGACAAACCAATACTTTTATTCAAACGGATGAATGCATAGGCAGGTCCCAAACTGCATTTGTTTGGTGTGTCAACTGTATTGTAGTATTGTAGTTCAATTTTCGGAATATACACTTTATTAAGTGTCACCCATTTCATGTATTTTATTTTTGTGTGTTTTTTAAACAAATAAATAAACAAATAAATAAACGAGAAGGAAGATAACAAACTTCCAGACACATACTGTATCTACTTGGCTAGTTTCTCAATAAACGTGAGGGTGAGGATGAGAATGTAAGAGATGTAGGAAGTGAACAGAATGAGATCATCAAAGAAAACACAAGTGAGGAAGATGGCAGTGATTTTGATTTTTTGAAATGATACATTATTTTCAAAAACTTAAGATTGAGAAGTATCCCATCAATAGTTTCTATATGCCCAACGTGTCATGAAATCATCAAAAATTACATAGCTGTATTTCAGATGATAAGAAACATGACAGCTATTGTATAAATACTTTCCTTAAACACTCAGAACACCAAGGGACATTTCATCCATACTGAAGTCATTACAATATTTGTTGAAGAAAAATTGAAAAATAATTGATAACCAATACTCATTACATCAAAAATAGTTGTAGATACTAGTACTCATAAAAGATAGAGTATTCAGTCTTAAAATGTGGGATAGATAAAATCCAGTCTTGAAGTCCATAGGCAATTCAGAGGGTCAACATTTGCAAAGCCTTCATCATAATCCATAAAAGACATTAAGATTGAAAGATATCTTGTTTATTACTCCTTTTCCAAAGGCGAAAAACTGTAAAAACTGAAGAAACCCTGAATCAACAAGTACAGTATATGCAATGAATTCATTATATTCAGTCTTAACTTTCAAAAGTGATAATACACAATGATATATTTACAACAAATTTCATATTTCTATTTCCCCTTTAACTTGAGCTGTTGAGTGAATAAAGAATTCCTATTAATTTCCTTTGAAAATAACCTCTAATACCTCAAAATTAGAATATGCACATTAAATTTAACTATAGCAAAATATCTAGTAAAAGAAAAAAAAATACTATAAGACTTGATATTTCACTTTTCATAATTTTATATAATGTCTACTAACTAACTAACTAACTAACTAACTAACTAACTAACTAACTAACTAACTAACTAACTAAATAACTAACTAACTAACTAACTAACTACCTAACTAACTACCTAACTACCTAACTAACTAACTAACTAACTAACTAACTAACTGACTAACTAACTTAAAGTAGCAACCAATTAAATTCTCTCATCTGACCAATTTGCAGGTCACTTGTCAAAATGTGCTCGCACCAGATTTTTGAGCTCAAATAATAAGACACTTACAACCTCAGCTCACATTCATGTTGAATGGCAAGGACAAAAACAACAAAGAGAAAATATCCTGAAGTAGTTACAGACATGGAGAACAAAGACCCAGTAAGGTACCTTTGCCTGAACTGTGACAAGAGTTTTACGAGACGTAGTACCCTCAAGAGACGCTTGATTGACTTTCAAGTGTACTGGATTACTGCTGATAAAACTGACGCAATGGAATGTATTAAGGGTGGGGTCTACGGATCTCAGATAATGACGTGGAGGTTAAGTAATCCAATCATAACTCTTCCCTTGGTGATGCTTAATCGAAAGAGTGAACTAGAAGCCTCCTAGAAACGGAGTAGGAAGGTGCACCGCATATAGAAGAAGTACCCGAGGACGATGGTGCATATACCTCGAATGCACCTGTAACATCTCAACAAGCATAGTTGACAGCTGCAACATCAGCACCTATGGCCCCTAATACACATACATTGGATAGTATTCGGATTACAATAAGCAATTTGGGTGCAGTTTCCCACATGCTAGTTCCTGCACCAGTAATAACCACTAGGCAGCCAAAACATTCCCCTCATTACAACACAAGGCCTAGCATTTTCCAAAAACCATCCATTCTAGAACAAGCTACAGACAATATAATTGCGACACCGACTCAGCCTAACAAGACAATATGTGGCATTAAAATATTATTATAAGTTCAGTTGTTTTGAAAGTTTCACACACAATACTTTTTCACTTACATGCAATACAGTGAGTGATGACATCATAGTGAACCATGTAAATTAACAAATAGGCAATTACGTTTCTGCATGGGGTAAATGCATATAATTAAAATATGTATCTAAGCTCAGTGAACTTGGACTTACTGTCTGGCCAAATACTGTTTTGAAAACTGTGGATATATGGCTAAAACACAGAATTCTCAGGTAAAAGATTATATAAATGATACTCTTACGAACTTTCTTTCTTCCATTTCTAATCATCAATGTAAGTGACACCTGCCTCTTTTGTGGAATGAAGCTCACTATGATTCTTGTATGAGCCCAGATATTTAAGACATTTTCCCTCTAAGTCTTTGAAGACTTATAGATCAATATGTTGTTAATTTTATTGGCCTATAAAAAGAGAATATCATTTTACCCAAAATCTGGCTGACCAGTCAATGTTTGTTGATGCAGAACCAGTCCATCTATATAACCTATATTATTGGTTTCAATCAGCCAATCTCTAAATATCTCCCGAAAAAAACGGGATTTGGCGAGATTTCAAAGCTTACTTGAAAAAAGTTTATTATCCAAAATACTTCTTTCATTGGTATGCTTGGTTTTAAAACTTATTTTCTTCTTGTAGGCATTAATAAGGAAATATACAGCAAACAGGCCTGTTCTTGTTTACATATACTTCGTATTAATTGCCTGTACAAGATACAAGAACATAACTTAGGAGGAATGCCTGTTTGTAAGTCGCTCCCCCAATGACAAACAAGGCAACAACATGCCACTATATTTTCAGGTATTTTTGTAATAGTTAATATGTACATCTATTACTATTACCTAGAACTATTACCTAGAACAAAAGTGTAAGTTTTAATACACATGCTAAGCTTAGTACTACAAGAGACACATGTAAAGATAGAGTTTCTCCTTAGTAAATTGTTCTTTGCATCATAGAAAGATGTTAATTCATTTCCGTGTCTCAATATCTGCACCATCAATTTACCTGTAGCCCCCCCCCATGTAATTATTACAAATGCACATGTTATTACAAAAATAATAAACATGTGATTATCAACTATTCGTATTTTTAAAAAAAAACATCATTATACTATGCATAGGTAAATGCAGTAGGTGGCCACAAGAGGGATGTTGCTGATGTAAAAAAGAAATAGGGTGATCTAAAACGATATGCAAAAGAAAAAAGGCGAAGAAGTCGAAATGCAAAAAAACGGGCGAGGGAAGACCAAACATCCCAGTAATTTCTGGAAAGAAAAATAATATCACTGATGGGAAAACAAGGGTGGCTGGAATACAAGGTGCAGTGGACACATCAAACTGTTGTCTGAAAACATCAACATCTGGGAGAAAATCGCTGACAATGCGGTCAGTTTAATACATATTGATTCGAACCTTAGTTTTATACACATATTAATGGAATTCTAGTTTCTGCCAGAAACAATCAAATTTAAAACACAACATTTATTTCATTGTGAAAACTAGCATGATTGTACAAAAAAGAGAAAAGTATTTATAAATTTTTGTATTCAAAAATATAATGCTTTAAGTTATGTTTGTAGAAGGATGACATTGGGGCTCATGGAGCTATGAAAGATACATGTAAACAAGTTTGAAGGTAAACATTAGATAATGATCAGGTAATAACATAAACAGTACAGGTCACGCCGAGGGTCTCATTTTAGTGCATCACAGCACACTATCTTGGTACATCTATTGGTGCATTGACGCAACCAATTCAGTGTCACTTTGTGAAATGACGGAGATCAGTGCAACAGACTACAGTGACAAGATTAACCATAGCCATGCGAAACCTAGATTTGATTAAAATCAGATGTTTCTGATTCGTCCACATGGATTGCAGCCGCACTCCACACTTGAATGAGTACTCAACCACCAAGATTATTATAAATTCTCAAATCAGGACTTTATTTCACAGTGCCTTTGTTTATCATCTGTTTATCATCCGCATTATACAATATCCATTCCAGAGGATTGCTTCACAATGACATCAAAGTGAACAACTATTGCCTCACCACTAAAACAGAAGGGAAACTCATTGATTTTGGCCTATCTTCTTCACTCACAGCCTCTTGTCTTCTAGAATGGAATGGCAGCAGGACACCCTTGGATAACACCCGAAGTTCAGGAAGGACCAGCATCGGTCCAAAGTGATCTGTATTCACTTGGGAATTTCTAAGAACATCGGTGACAGTACCTCTTTCTGAATAAACCTACTAACTCTAATTAACTTGACTGATTTTTCTTATTTAATGTAAATTGAAATAGGAGGGCAATAAGGGAATATAGAATACACCTTCCTAAAATCATTAAAAGATGAACACCTAAATAGTATGAAATATTTGTACAATATTATTATTATTTCAGATGGGGAATCGTTGTTCACTGAGGGATTGATGGGTATTCACGATTGGCAACAATCCTACAAGCATCAACCAATGACAGAGCAAAAACAGTATATGAATTGTTTAAGAGAAGCTGTACGTGAAATTTATTGGCCATCGAGGGTAAGAACTGATTTTGGCAGGGAGAATAATTTGGTGGGGGAGGAAATTATGCAACGGAGAGGGGGAAGAAATTATGCAACGGAGAGGGGAGGGCAGGGGAACTTGGTTGCAAGGAAGCTCTGTCAACAATCCAAAGATTGAATGATTTTGGAAAGATATGAGGAGCTTTTGTTTAAACTTTTACATTAACATTTTTAGAAGCTTTGAAGAAGAACGGAGTCTTGACATAAATAGTACACAACATATGTTTGCTCTTCGAGCAACTTTCCTTCCTATTTTGAATGACAATCTTAGAGAATCCTTAGATTGTCAAACATATGATTCCACCATTAGATGAGGAAAAAAAATTGATGGTATCCATAAAGGGTAACCATTTGTTAACATTAATAAACACAATTTTACAAACACATGTTAATATGATATAATAATCTACATCTGAAATAAATACATTATTTTAACTTTATCATGCGTATTATGTATTTTTACTAATTAGGTATAACAGGGGAGGTATTCCTTCCTTTAATAACATTTTATTAATCACTTTCCTGTTACTTATAAGTCAGGGTTGTTACAGGAACAATAGGTAGTGTTGAGGAAAATTCCTGATTGTGAAATCAAGGTATGTACATGAATCAGGTTTTCACTTTCAGTTTTCATTTTGAACTTTTTCTTCAGTTTTGTTTGCTTCTCAGTAAAAATAGGAAACAGACATTAAAAGAAATACAACTAGCATATGGTGAATCATAGATTGAAATTAGAAAAATGGTAATCTTAGAGGACCACATGTCACTTTGAAGGAGGCAATGGAAAGTCCCAAGAAAAGGCGAATGACAGTATCAGGCACTGTAAAGAATGTCAGTCTATTTTGTTCATATTTTATCGTACAACCATATTCTTAGGTCATGTAATGAATGAACTGTAAGTATAAAAAATATATAACTGATTAATAATTGCATCAGGTTGAAAATTGAACATGGAAAATAAATTAAATCAAGACAAGATTTTCAACCTATTCATAGTTATAGTAAAAATACAGTGAATATTCTGAAAATCATTATTATTAAATTATTGTTTTACTTAATTATATTACAATTGAACAAGTATAACATTGATTTCAAATGAAATGGATATTTCATTAATTCCATGCTATTTTCTGACAATGTGTAGGTTAGATACAATGCTGTTAGTTGTAACTATGGAATAGGCATGTTAGACAATTGGAAGATCGATCTTCTGGATTTCCACAAAGAACATCATACCACATACTGACATTGCTGTCCAATTTCTTGCATGTATATTATGTGCTAGATAATGATATGCAGGGTGGTCATTAAGTTTTGGGAATTGGTCTGCCATTTCAAGATTTTTAGGGGGGGAAGCCTACCCGCCTATAGGAAAATGGACAATAAAGGTAATATTAGGCCCCTATCAATTCAATCAATTTAACTATCAATTCCATTGGATGATTGGATGGTTTAAATCGTTACTAAGATGCTCTAGCAGGTGGAATTGGCCCAGAATTTTAGTTGAAATATGTTTTTAAATAAGTTAAATAAGGTGTGATAATATAAAATATAAGGCTACAGTAAGTACATAAAAAATAGACTTACAGTGGTGATTATGCCTGAAGTCACATCGGCACGGTCTGAGAAGTGCGCGATCGGCCTACTGATGGGCCGCCGATGGGCATTCCGATCGGCATTCCGATTGGTATGCCGATGGGCGATGGGTATACCGATGGGCGATGGGTATACCGATGGGCGATGGGTATACCGATCGGCACACCTATCGACATGCCTATTGCTCCATCGGCACCTCGGTCGGCACATACATAATGTAATGATAATACCGTCTGCACTGGTCGATCGTATAACACAGATCAATAATTAAAAGCTAAATTAATTGTTTTGCATAATGCGATCTTTGTCTTATCTTCATCCTAGGTCTTATATAATTTTATGCTTAAATCATCAGAGTTAGTTTACAAGATCAATGGATATAATTACACAGTCACATGTACTTTGTTATTAAATTCAGAAACGTTTATGGCCGGCGCGTATTGTCGGATTTTAAACGTGATATTGTTTATTGGATTGTTATCTAGATTCTTCTTCTATTATTTTTTTAATTGGGAACGTATAATTTTTATTATTGGAGTACCCAGGAAAGCAATAATTACTATTAGCTAATGGCCACTTGGCTTGGTGTATTTCCATACGCATTTATAAAGTCCAAAAGACGAGCGCGTTCGTATAAATAAATGAATAACGCAAACCACGTTCTTAAAGTTTTTATTCACATTCGTATTTTATATTCAGTACTTTTTATTTATTAAGTTACATAGATAAGCGGGCATATATAGGTTTGTTGCAAGACCATTTCTGTGATGACCAAGGATCATATTTTGGTTTTATAACGAGGATATTGCTCGAGCATGAATAACAAATAAAAGACATGTTGATTCTTCTTATTTCTGTATTCTGTCCTTTGATTGTGTATTAAGTTGCGCTGCACGCCAAACATTAAGATTGTTAAAACACTTAAAATAAAACTTTATTCCTTTCAATTTACATTAAAATGAAACAGATTAGATTCGAAGTTCAGTCACACCAGCCACTGGTCAAAGGAAGTACAAATATCTAGACTAATCAAATGTCTGAGAATTTGATAACTGTCTAGGATCCAATGTTAATTTTATTGAATCAATCTAAGAAAAGTATAAAGATGAATTTTAAACTTTTAGACGGAAAAGCCAAATATGCATCGTAAACCGAAAAATGATTCAATAAAGTGTCACTTGTGACGTACACATTTTTTAAAAACGAATAAAGCACAAACCTAATCATGAAGTCGTATCGGCGCTAAATGGCCCTCGCAATAAAACGCATCGAAGTAGGGAATGCTTGGTAAATTCTTCCGAGACTGACTTTTGTTATTTCAAAATTGATATATTACAAATATTAAAATGATCAAATCACCACGCAATTTTTTCCCTGGGGTTTACTCTATTTTAGATTTACTAGAAACATGTTTGAGGTTGTGATGATTGCGTTTGCTTCTCACGAGTTCATTGAAAAGTCCAGTAAAACTTCAGAGATCAAAAGACTAAGACCACTTAGGGTGGGATAATTATATTTTATCATATTCTGCAATGTTTAAGTCCTTTTATTTTCAGAAACGTAGATCTTTTGAGAATACGATAATCACACTTCAAGAAACTGAAGGCAGTCAAACATTGGATATAACAATGTACAGCAAACGAGAAGATGCTGTGCCCGAAGGTGTTTTGACAATTTCAAGTTTGGAAAACAAGGGTGGGTTAAAATCTACTCCTGGGACAACTATATCTGTACGTTTATTTTTCTTCCATACTTCAGAATATGTATTGTATGTATTGTATTTATTATTTATTATAGTGTCACGCCATATAAAATATTACATACTTAAACAATATTAAAAAATATTGGCCCTGTCGATGTCGGCATATGAGACACTTAAATGACAACAATTCAATTAATAAGTTAAGAATGTTCAACGTTTCATACAAAGTTTAATTACAGTCTTTGCTAATTCATAAGTAAGCAATACTGTCCTAGACAAGTGGTATAAAAGTCATTCCCTATTAGCAATCTGGCCTTATGCAAAAGCTCTCTCCTCTCAGGCTCATAAAGATGACTTTCTATAAAAAATGTATTTCTGTTTCCACGGTATAGAAAGTGTCGGCGTAGATGACAAGAATGAAATGTAGGTCTTATTATATTCTTATCTGAAGTTTACAATATTAAGTATTCCCCAAAGTCCAAAGTGTACTCATTTGACCTCTGCGCTGATTGGTCGATGAAATAAAACATCACTATGCCATCATTAAATTACCTTTCAAATGAGCCATGGTTTATGTCTTAATTATTTTTCCTTGCAGATATAGACTAAAAAAGATGGATTTGAATTTAGCACATTTTCCTCTTAATCTTGGGCACATTTTTGGCTCTGTAGCACAATTTTATATTTTGGGATAAGGCCGGTTTTCCTATGGCCAGGCTCATTTTATGAATATCCATAGTTATATTTCCTACCATAGTTATATACCGTATCTTATTTTTACTCATTATTTTTAGGTACTCTTGCGAGGTAATAACTGAATAGTCAATTAAATGTTGCTTCATTATCCCACTGAACAATGTAAAACTAAAATATAGAGAAGCTGTCCATTTATTCATCTGTCCGCGGCAATAACTCCTATACTGGTTGACTCATTGATTTCAGATTTTGAAAATTTTGAATATGCCCATATGATTCAAAATTGCTGCCATTCCGTTCTAACATATGGACATTTTGGGCTACAATTTGTCTGATCTTTTTTATAAAAAAGTGATTTGATAAAAATATTTGTTTAGTGGGATTAGCTTTTAATTAATTAATTACACACCCAGTTTCTATTCGTGAATGGAAGGGGAGGGAGTAATATGTCTTTGAGATGGAACAAACTCACAGAAACTCATGTATTTGAAAACATAAACTCATTGCTTCAGTAAGAAACTGGATATATCTCAGTAGAAATCGCCTACTCCCCCTCCATTCATTTAGTCCGATCATTATTGTGCATATTGTGCATGTAAGTAATCTTTTCAAGGTTAGAGTATTGTACTTTCAAGGGTGCTTTATGTTCACCATATGTCTTGTTCTTTTAATAATTGACCTATTTTTATTTAGAAATCTTCAGGTTCAAGAGTAAAATGAACATTTGAAGAAGAGCAGGAATCCAGGACCATATTTAAGGACTTCATAATGAATGAAATGTTCATTGTTGTTCTGATATTTGATTGTGATATAGATATAAATATAAATTGATTGGATGGATAGATAGAGGCCCGAAAAGATAAAGGGGTGTTACAGGCTGTTTCTTTCCAGGTTTGACATAGATTTGGGATACTTGGGATTTTCTTTCAAATGTATAGTGGTATTGTTATATTTTGTTATACATATTCTATACCAGTTATTGAGGTTTAAAATTTACTTGATATCCTCAAAGATGTAGGAATTATGTAAGAATGGGACCAATGTCAAATTTTTACTCTTGGCAACTTTAAGGTATATATCAGCTATGGCATTAATGGTTGAGAAAAAGGGATTGAGTCATTTTTCTTCTTTCCCTTTTGGCAACTGGGCAGAGATATTTATCCATATTTACAGCTAATTCAATATTATCTATTCCATTTCTGTTTCAGAGATAGCAAAGTTCACAATATACATGATATTTAATAAACTGCCTTGATCTTTTATATGGTATACCATCCACATATATCTACTTTGATGGTGGATGGTGCAAGATATCACATAAGCACACATACAATGCCAAATGGGGTGTTGTGATTGTAATCTGCAGGAGAACAATGAAAGTTCTACATAATATAATAGTGCTAAATTCATATTATAAGATATGCTCTATGTGTGAAGAGCAGGAAAGGACACCTCCTGTCCACACCTGTGGCAAGAATCACGAGGGCTCCGCCCAATCAATGGAGAGCGGAGGAGCTCTCATTGCTTTCAAAGAAATTGACGAGATGGGGGGTTTAATATATACTCATATTATTGGGGATGGAGATAGTAGCATGCTGGCTACTATCCGACGTGATGGTCCACAATGGGCAGGTCTTAAAAAAGTAGAATGTATCAACCATGCCCTAAAAAATGTGAAAGTTGCAGAAGAAAATCCTGCATTTAGAGGTAGTTTATTTTAAAAGATGATCATGCATTATTTCTTTTAATCATGTGTTAGAATACCTTGTATAATAGGAATTATTAATTTGATTGACACTTTTGTAGGTATAAAACTTTGTGGTGTTTTTATTTTATTTTTAATTTATTTTATTTAGTACGTTTTGGAGTAAACCATGATAAAAATTACAAAAGTAAATTTTTGTATAGGTAAAGGGAAACTAAGTGTCCAAAATCAGCAACAGATATGCGGAGCACTGAAAATGGCTACTATAACCCGCAGTAAACAGGAAGATCCACGCGATTTAGTAGAATCAGCTCTTGCTGCTGACTATCGTAACATGTGTTTGGTGATATGATAATAATTAATGATAATAATTAGAGCTATTTTGAGAATTAGAAATGTTTAAAGTTGAACCCTCCAATGACTGTATCATGTCCCACGTAGGTGGGTATAAGGTAGGAGGTTTTTTATACTAAAAGCCAAGAGATCGGATTACAACAATTTTAATTGAGAAACACGGGCTAAGATTGCCCATTACGCTATAGAAATTAATTATGGACTATTGTAAATATGGTAATGGAAAATATTCGAAGTTTGGAGGGATATAGGGAACACCTCCATCCGTCCGTCTGTCCGGGGTTACTGTTGTATAATTATACATGTCTGCATGTGTGTGAAGAGTAATATCATTTGTTTGATTTTATGATTTTTAGGTTCAATGACCCAATAAATTCCAATGTGAGAGTCAGGATGGAGAAGGAGCTGGAAGGACATAGGGCAAAATTGTCTTACAAGACATACAACATAAGTAAATCCTAAAATATTTATGAATTTGTTTCATAATAGCATTTAACAAGACATTATGAATTCACGTTTTTGGAAAGTATGCATAATATTGTAATTGATTTTTGCGACAGACATCTAGAATTTACAAGAAGAATAAGTCATATGCAAAAGGAATTCATTTTTAGTATGTTTCACAATCTTGATGGCACCATATAACGTTGAAACCACTTTGGTTTAGATTATAGTCCAACGCAATTTTATCAAAATGTGTTATATGAAACTCTTCAATTTAATTTAAAAGGTTGATTTTTAAAGGACTTTTTCATAAGTGAGAAACTTTGTATCTAAAGTGGCGGGCATTCAAATATTATATATTATTATGCACCTCATTAAAATACTCAAATCTGATTGGTTCTTAGTTGCTTGTAATTTGGCAATACTCTGCTCTTTTCTGAAAACTGCCGGATATTTTTTTAATATCTGATCCTTTCGAGAAAAAGGGTCGGATATTTTTTTCAATGTTTTTGCAACATTCCCACTTCAGAGTTTTATTTCTTAATAACTGGTGTACTAATTAAAGCTTACATCTGAAACTGGCGGAAAATAGAAGAAAAAGATGCACTCAATCAATCACAATTACCCTTTTCATTCAAAAGTTACATATAATTCTGCAAGAACGTCTCGAATAAATAAGAATTAAATTCCCGGGGCAAATATTTTCGTCCAGTGTAGCGAACAAACTGGCCGGAAGTTGTCTGAGTTTTGAAAGAAAAAATAAATAAATGTCAAAATAATGTCAACTAAACGACAGTTTAGCCTGTAAATGAGGATGAAATACAAGTTATTTTAGATTCAAGGGAATCTGCAAACACAAAGAAACAGATCGCTAAAGCTGAAAGAGCATTTAAGGACTTTCTGAGTCAAAACAATGTAAGAGAAGATTTCGAAAATTTAGAGAGGGAAGACATATGTGAAAATTTGATTAAATTCTTCAGTGGATGAGAAATACAAAACAAATACCCTGGTATCATTCAAGTATGGCATAAAAAAGTATTTAGCAGCAAATTCAGATATTGACCTAAAGAACGATGCAGCATTCCTTCGATTTCGACAAATTTTTGATGCTTTACTGTGTCAAAACAAGAAGGATGGATATGGCAAGTGAAGTCTTATGTTACATGAGAATATTAAATAGGTGTACATATAATTTATACTTTTGTCAAAGCTAAGCTAATTTCATATAACTTCTGAATATCTTCTTCCTCAATTGGCTCCTTGTGATCTGTGGAACCTGAAAATAAAGGAATCGGACATTTTAATGTCTAGTTGAATGCATGATATCTTAACAGGGTGTGAGGTAAAACATAATTTTAAAAAGCAATTTTATTTTTATCGCTCCTGTATTTCATAAAAATATATGAGAAAATGTGAAGAGAGCAATTGGCAAAATGAATTAATGTTTGAGTTGATCCAATAATTGGAACAATACTGAAGCTATAATCTTGATACATATGGAATTTTTTCTGCATCTTTATTCGATTTTCACACTTTTGTATTTGATTACAACCATTCGATATTCCACTCTATTAAAATAATTCGAAACACGTAATAAATTTGTTTGTTTTTACACATTTATATTTGATTTATGTACCCATATATGCGGTAAATGCACTTGTATATTCGGTTTATGTTATTCAGTGTTTGGTAAAATATCACATATTTAAGTCCATGTACAAACACGAACAAAGACGGTTGACACATATATTTAGAACACGCATCAAATACAAATACACTTTAGAACCAAACAATGTTCATTTACCAAACAATCATAGAGTACAAAATAGCACGGACATATAGTGACTTACCCCACATAATTAATGACATGTACTTTCGCATAAAATTATGTGGGGTAAGTCACGTGACTTACCCCACATAAATGACACATGCTGCATGTAGCATAAAACCATTCGGTAAATCACGTGACCAGTGACGTAGAAATTATTTCAAAATGGATGAAACAAGCGAGGAAAAATAATTTGAATACGATTCATATTCACAATTCAGAGAGGATATTGAGAAGTTATTAGATCATTACAACAGGCACGAGGCTTCAAGCGAACCTTTCTTATAGAAAATACGTTTTCGCGATTGGAGAATCACACCAAATGCTTTGAATATAAAGATGGCGCAAGTCACATGGTCGAAGTCACGTGACTTACCCCACATCAAAACAATGAACATTGGTTTATAAAAGCATTCGGTAAGTCACGTGACTTACCCCACAAATTAATATGTTTACCACAAATGATTATGTTTACCCAATACGAAGGGTACTTGGCATCGCATATATTTAAAATACTTATCAAATTTATATTTGATCCGATCGAATACAGTTTTGAAGCATTTTACATATTTGTTGTGTAAGGCAGTGAATTATATGTGGGACAGTAGGTACCATTTGTTGTAACTGGTTTTGTTTATGTTCGGTTTAACTTACTCCGTGGGGTAAAAACCGAAGATATTAATGTTTAGAATATTGATGCAATAAATACACTATAGATACAACCTTCACTGCAATATGATCTTGGATTACACCTTTTAAGTTTATATTCTAATTTTTCCTGTTTAGACATGGTCTATTCCAATGACAGCCAAAAAGATGAAGCTGGATCCAGTAATGATGCATCTTTGGACGAAAAGTTGCTCAACACAGTGCTAAATGACCCTGTATGCCCAGAAGATGAAGCTAACTTAGAGAAAGCTATAAACAAAACTGCTGAAAACCTGAAGGACTTTGATACTCCTCTATTGAGTGAACCAGAGTTATCTACACCTATTCTAAAGAGGAAAAGGAAAGTCGGACCAGTGAGACAGAAATGGACTGACTTTGAGACAACAGAACTGGAGCATCTATTTAGAAACTTCATCAAAGGAAAAATATGTCCCTCGAAAAAAGATATTGAAAAAAGAATCAGAAAGTCAAAGAAACGGAATGGATACATTTGGAAAAGACAATGGGAGAAAATAAAGAAGAAGGTTTGGAACATGTATATAACCAAGTAAACACTGGAAAGTTGGGAAAATATACGTGTCTGATTTATGGACTTTATTCATGAAAGTATATATATAGTAATTATATATTATTATTTTTACATAGGCACTAGGTCATCAGAAATGGAAGAAGTGGTTACTTAGTTTTTAAGAATAATTGGGCCATTTTTGTATCAGCCTAGTATATGATTTTTAGATTTTTGCATCAACCCAGTAAATGACGTTTGTTATACCAGAGCAAATCTGTAAACATAGCATAGCAACATGCTATGTTGAAGAAATAACTTGAACATCAAATAACCTTTATAAACAGTCAAAAAAAGACTGAGTAATAAAACGCATATGCTTTCACAAAGAAATGCAGGAACTTGCAAAAAGGGAGGTGTTGCAAAACATAAACCACGTCCTAGCAGTATAATCGAAACCTCCGTGTCTAAAACAGATGGTGACTATTGTGGTATTTTGACAGACCACTAACTACCACAACAATAACCACTTTACAATCATTAGAAAATCAACAGTGAGAAAAACTAGAAACAAATGTTACTCCTGCACTATGGAATTTGAAAATGAGATTCCACCCCCACCCCACAACATTGTTCTTCACTAGTTTGATCTGGCTTAGACCTAGTCTTTTGGTCATTTAAGTCATCTAATTGTTGATATTGTTTAGGTAATTTGGATCATTTTGATCATTTATGTCATTTAGATCATTTTGGTGATTTAGATCATTTTGATCATTTGGTTAGTAGTCAGTTTAGGTCAATTTTAAGATTTTTTTTTATCATACATCTAGGATAATTGGGCTCCTGTCTACTGAGATGATTCTCAAAACACTGCCTTACACAAGAATCTCCATATGATGACCAGAGTGCAATGCCAATGATTCATCACATCCTGTCGGGGCAGTTGTATATAATTTATGAAATACATGAAAGGTGGAAGGTTAACAACACCCAACTAAATGTGTAGTTCACGATGGCCACTATTTGACCAAGTTAAAGTTAGACCACCAGATTGATTGCAGAGGGGAAAACACCAATAGGTAAAAACAATATGGGTTTTGTCTTGTTTTTAAATTAGTAGTAGCAGCCAAAAGTTATGTTTTGTTGAAATCTAACCAAATATGACAAAAGTTAAAGTGGCGGAGAACAAATGAAATCACCACCAGTAATTCTCTTCACAATAGGTGGTCATGCATTCTCATTTCAACAATTTTTAGATCCTATTTTTTACTTGTGGAATATTCTTGACAGTTCTATATTTTTTTCTATAATTTTCAAAAGTACCATTTTTCATTTTCCATTTCATTTAATATTACAGGATGTGGATGAACTTTTCTCCAATTTTTCAACACATATTTGCGAGGAAAACCATCCCAACTCTTCCCAGGCTCATGCATGCTTTTGAGAGATGTGTTGAAACAATGCAACCTACAGTAGCAGAGGTAAATCACATTTTGACAAAGTTAGGCCTACAACAAAACAAAACATAGACAGACATGATTTGACAAGAAAATACTCATGAGCCTGATATAGAACAGGAAATCAATAAAAAATCCTATTAAACTATTTCCTCCAATATTATCTATTATTTCACTATACTAGGTTCTTTAAAAAGTGACAAATAACCTCTGAATTACATTGTAAATAAATAAATCTTTGCTTTAAGGTTCAATCACAGATCTATTTATAAATTATTTAAGGAATAATGCATGAGATAATATTTTATAATTGTTTACATTATTCAACAAATAGAAAATACTATGATTTTTTAGTTGGACCAAAACATGCCGCTCTAAAAGGTTTTTCTTTAAAAACATTTTTATGTTACAGATTGAAAATATATATGATGTTAGTGGATGGATCTTGCCACACCTTGAAGATGTAAATGGACATTCTGGGCCACACTGCTTTAAATCTATCAAGGAAAATGGACACACTAGAATGTATTACAAAGATAGTTTCAAATACTTTTCACTGTGTTATAATTTCTTACTGGCAATACTTGCATTGTTTGGATTTAGTGCTACGTAATCTAACTCCTGGCCCAATAGCCCAAAGGCATGAGGAGTTAGTTCTGGTCACCTCAAATAGATCATTGGGATCAAAATCTCCTTAATGCATTCTGTTTGGCAAATGGTGCCAGCCTAAATATAATAACCAAATTCATGAGAGGGAATGTAAGAAGGCAAGAGTAGCGAAGGAGAGAAAAAAGACATGTGTGGAGGAAGACATATGATGTCATGATTATTGAGTCCAAAACTGAGGGAAAAATAACTTTAACAAAAAAAAATTAATAAAAGAACATAATGTGTATATTTTCCTTTATTTCCAGGAAAAGACGAAAATCAGCTTTGCATGTTGTAAGGTCAAGGCGTAGGGCCAGACAGTGGCCATGACTGTGACAACTATAACAAAAACTGGAGGATCATATGAGTCACACCTGGTGACTACAACAAATCAAATCTGAACCAGCAACAAAGGACTCATCTCTTATTGATCTCATATTTACAAAATCAATAATTTTGTTTGAAAATCAGGATATACATTCCTTTGAAGGTTCTACACTGTGTGAACAAAGGACAGTGGGTCCTTTATTGTACTAGAGCAAATTTCACAGGGAGAGAATGTTTACCCCCTTGATTTTGACAGAATTCATGACGATTTCATTAAGCCAGCTCTAACAAGGAAACACCATCAAGGCATATCTTAACAGACTTCAAAATCTTTTCTTTTCATTCTTTTTTTGAGACTGAAGACAATTGAACATTCTGAATACCTTATTGTGCTTGAAATGATTATTATTAAACCTTCAGCGATTAAATACTCTATATTTACTGATCCATGGATATCCTACTTCATTAATTAACAAAACCAAAGCAAGCCCATAAACACACATTCGGTGATTTTTAAGGCTATTAGATGTTTTATCATCTCGCTCACAGCTGTTAAAAGCTATGTATAATTTGCCATAGGTTTACTTTGGATATGTGAATTAATTATATCTAATTTTTTTATTCTCCCCGTCATAAATATGTCTGTGTGAAGTAAAATACAAATCCAAGGCAGTTTATAATATTTTATGGAATATCCTTTTTAAAAAAGCAATTTAATTATGATGTATCATGCGGATCAGTGGACGTTATAATTGGATTCAATTATCAGACTGACTTTGTTATAATTTAATTATTTTTTTCAGGAAAATCCTTTATGTTAATTTCTATCACGTGATATTTTCCAGGGAAACCCAAATAATGGCGCGCTAAATTGGTTTGTGAAATTTGATTTGATTTTTCGCTTTATTTGTGAGCTGTGCTTGTGTTTTGTCTTATTTTTGTATTATACATATGTGTGTGTATGTTGCACTTATGTTTGAGCATACATATGTGATCATGACCGATGGAAATATGAGAGAAACGATACATCATACTAGATATTTTTTGCCATTTGATTTTGCTCATCAGTCCTCACTGCCTAACTGATTCAGTCATCAATAATGTAGGTAGATCCGTTCAATTTGCAATATGTAGTATTAACAATATATATTACTGTGTTTGAATTATGTATCTATTACAACTGTATATTCAGTATACATCCTTTCTTTAGACTAACCCTTAGACTCTGTATCCAATATTTTAGTCAACATATTATGAATGTCACTGAAGAAGCCAATGAAACCAGAGCCCACTGCTGAGTTAGAAAAACATCTTAAGCCAAGTGATTACACAACACCAGGCTGTGTCAAAGTTAACATCCCTGCCAGATTTTGAAATAAACTCATTTTATGACCTTACAAAAAATCTCAGTGGTCTAGAAGATTTTAAAATATTTTGTAATTTAATGTGTGAAAAAAGTGAAACCTGGAAATTCTAGCATAACTTTATTCATGTTGACTGTTTTGCATATGTTGGATTTTATATAGCTATGCGTAGTAGTAATTTCAGAAAAGGAAAGTCATCTGTTGGAAATGGATAATCTAAATAATAATAAATAACAACATGAGTGAATGTATCAAAAAAATACAGAGATGACAAAATTGCCATGCAAAGAAAATTGAAATCTCTAGATGCCAAATATTCAAAATGTAGAAAAGAACAAGATGAGTACTGTGACAAAGTATCAATAATTTACACAAGAAATCTGAACAAACATTTAAAAGAGGAGGGATAATCTTGTTGAGTCGCTAAAAATGCAGCTTGACGAAACTAAAACCAAAGTAAATTAAAAAGAGGCAATCATCATAGTCCTATAAAATGAGCAAGCCAATCCCATAACTGATCTCCAACAGCAGATGGAAACACTTGAAATAATAATCATGAATGAAAATTCTAATTTGAAGAAAAACTTAGATCAAACTAAAATGAGGTATAAAGAGAAGGTGTCAAAGGCAAGGGATGAGATTGAAACATTGAAAACAAAGCTGAAGTCTATAGAGAGAGAATTATCGCAAGAAACAGCCATTAACGACATCATGCGGACCAATGATGTTATAGTATTTGAAGGAAACAGGTATACTGATGAAATCAGACAAACAGTCTTCATGCTTATTACAGAATGTGGAGTCTCAATGAAATCAGCAGGCAAGGTTATCAGGATTGATAATGATTTTAACTATGGTAGATGTAATAGGATTATACTCAAATAATCTACATGATATTGGCATTGAGGTGGTCAATTTCTGGATAGATACACTTCCAACAAAAGACATCAGACGTGTTTCAAAGATGTTCATCTCTAAGGTGATCCATTTAATTCTTACCAATAATTACTTGCATTTCAATGTAAACAATCAAGAGGGACAGCAATGGGCACAAAATCTGCCCCTTCCTACGCGAACTTGGCGTTAGCTTATGTTGAATGCAAATTGATGGAATGATTAGCCTTGACTTTTCTCAAACAAACCTAATATAACAGAGTACATTCAAATAATTTCAAGCGTTATTTGGGTAATGGATTTATAATATGGCCATACAGAATTATTCATCAACGTATTAAGC